TTTACAAAAATTAACACTACATAACTGCATTATTTGACAAGCCTAATTGTTACCCATTTTTCTGTCATTTCTGATATTACCACAGCAGTCATAAATGTGTTCCATTCAAGTCGTTTTAATTTTGAAGAGACCAGAGTACCTCAAACACTAGACGATAATGTCATGTTTACCTTCATACAAGCATCTGCTTTAGTTTCTGCCTCCATCTTATTTGCAGGCTTTCCTGAGCCACAGAGTCTTGTTAATATTTAAACAGTCACTGACATTCTGCCTTTTCTGTCCCTCTTTTCCACAGCAATTGAACCACCCCAACGTAATTAAATACCACGCATCATTCATTGAAGAGAACGAGCTAAATATAGTACTGGAACTCGCAGACGCCGGGGACCTCTCACAAATGATAAAGGTAAGGACACATGCCGATTTGTCAGCAGTTTCCTTTTTTCCTCCATCAGAGTATTCCCACCGTACCAGCTGCTAGACGACCGAACGAAGGTAAAATGATCTACATTCCGACCACGTTTTTAGGATACCCTTTGGTTTGGTTACAACAATCGTATTGTTTATTAGACTCATGCACGTTCGATTCGCTTAGCCATCCCGTTTCCTCCTGACAACCCCTGCAGTTCGCATCTACAACCTGATGCTCCACATTTAATGGTCTGCATGTAAAACCCCTCGTCATCAAATCTCCACCCGCATAAATCATTCCCAGCGCAAACAAAGCGTTTGCAGAAGGATAAATGAGGAACAGGACGGATTAGTATGACGACGCCTTCGACATGTGCATCATAACGCACGCTTGCGCAAATATCCCGACTTCGGTCCGCTCCACCACGCTGCTCGATTTCTCTGCCCTTCTGCTCCACAGCGCTTTAATTAGTTTAATTTTTTTATTAAACAATGTCACTCCAAAGGTGTATACAGCGGCTAATCCCCTCAGCATTGTACGACCGAACATTGAGCCATATGTAAAACAGAAGCTCCGAATGCATAAATTTTTTTTTTAATTCTTTTTGATTTTTTTTGCGTCTCAGCCCCCTCCCCAATTCTCTCTGTCCATCTCGGAATTCAAATGAAATCAAATGGCCCCTTCATTTGCATGCACTTACAGAATATTGCATGTGCCGTGTTTGCTTTTTAAAGGCACAGAGGGGGCTGCCGCTCTCCCTCATTGACATCAAACAGCCCTCTGATATGCAAATAGAAAGGCAGGGGAAGAATAGATCCACCGGCTTTGTTTGGATGTGGGCCAAGGTTTTCTGGGTCTTGAGACCGCACGCTCGCTGCCGTTCTGTGAAGAGGTACGGGTGGGGACGAGGCGCAAAACGGCCCGAGTGAGCATTCGCACAATGAAGCATTGCGTCGCGCTAAAATAACCTGTTTTGTTTTGTTTTGTTAATCAATTCCTGACCCCTTTTAA